ATCATAGTTTATAATTATCAAATAAAGGTATTGTTTATGCTTGTGGATATGCATAACATGGATAATTAGGTTTTAAAGCTACTGAAAATCAGAACAAATTTTAATTAGTAATAGGATTATCTGGAAAAACTATAGTCTAAATTGCTGCTGGTTGGAATCACTCAATTGTATTGACAAGTCATTCTGATGTCTACACTTGTGGACATAATTAAGCAGGGCAACTTGGAATTGGTGATTATGAAAGTAGAACTTAATATATAAGAATCAATTTCTTGGAATAAAGAAGAATTAAATAATTATTTGCAGGAGGAAATCATTCTTGGGCATTAATTGATTATAATCAACCCAGAATTGATGATTATTCTCCTCCTTCTCCTCTAAACGAAGAAGCTAAAATAGAAAACTTTACTTAAAAGTTTAAAATGTTTAAATGTTTAATAATATTCATTTTTAATAATTTTCCCATTATTACTGAAGTTAAAATGCATCATAGATTTGTCAAAATTTAAGTGCCAGCATAATTTTAAACTACTATTTAGGCTAAGATTAATGATTACTTAATTTTATGCAAAAAGATCCAAATACAAAATTAAGTAAAATTTAGAATGATGCTCTTGCTTTAGGAGTAAAAGAAGAAAATAATAAGTATATATATTTTTATAGATTTAGATTATCATTTACTATTATGATGGTTATGGATCTATCATCATATAAAATGCCATTTGAGGATATAGATGAAGGCAAAGTGAATCAAATTGGTAAACAATTTATTGTGAAAAGAAGTACTTTCAATAAAAATCCTATATATGATTAGATTATATAGGCTGAAAAGATAATGAACATTCCAGGAATTTCAATTAAATTCTTGGAACTCAGACCATTATAATGAATGATTCTACTTATGAATTATAAACTCTTTTATAATTTTTATAATTTTGTTTTAGATAATTTAATATTAATAAATGCAACATCATCTCAAATTTTGAAGTAATCTATAATACTACATTAAATTCATGAATTGAAATTTTGGAAGTAGATAAACGATTTGATATAAATGAATTTGAATTCAAGAAATCGAAAAGATTGTATGTCACAGAACAAAAATCATGAACTTAGATGACTTAAGTGCATAATGATTATAAATGTTTTGAAAGAGTAATCATCACTAAATTGATATCTAAATGCTTAGTTTATCTCATAAATAACTAAGAATTGAATAAAGATATTAGTCTACATACTATAAGTATCACCTCAATTCAAAAAAGTAGTCGCTATAAATAGAATGAAATTCCTATTAATAAGTTGACAGACTTTTAAGAATTGATTGTTTAACAAGGTATTTAGTTAAATAAACACTTAGGATAATTAAAGTCTTTAATAAGTACATTCTTAAAACAAGGAGATCATAATTCTAATTATTATTTTGATAAATGATATACTTAGTATTTGATTGACTGCACAGTAAACATCTACTTTCAACAGCAACTATTTTATTTATGATAATATCACTTATTTCTTCTTCAGCTATAAATTAGATAACTATATGAAAATAAAAATAGACCAAACTCTCATTCTTTAATACTTTTTGATACAAATATAAGAGCAATAATGAAAGTCTTATTTTCACATCTATCATTGTTAAATAACAAATTAGATTAAGGATTCAGATTTTATTTTAGAGAAAAATTCTGATATTCATTTTATGTAAATCCCATTATTCAATATCTATCCATTTATTATGTTGAATATATTCATTAGTCTGGATACTTAAAATAGATATCGAAGAAGACTTAGCAAGTCTTTTAAGCGATTACAAGTAAGAAATTTAATATTATAAAACATGTTCTTATTCCGTTCTTCTTCCTATTACAAATAATATTCCTTAAAATTTGAAAAAATTGGTTAATAACTTTTATCAAGTGAAGGAGTTCTATTAATTTAAAAGTAAGTTATTTTTGAAAAACCCATTAAATATGTTGTTGAACCTTTTGAATGACAAATTTCAAATAAATATTAAATTCAAAATGATCTATACATATTTTTAGTACTCAATAAAGAAATAAAAAATAAAAAAGTTACTTATGATAATCTAGCAATTAATAATTAACATCATCACATGTATAAAAATATTAATAAATCATTAAACATTAATTGATTAATTTGATATAAATAATCAGAAAAAATAATGACAAAAAATATCCTTAATAATGATATATATTAAGTAACATGAACCTTAAAAATTTACCTTATATGAAAGATAACATCCTGTAAATAAATAAGATTAATAGCTGCCAAAATAATAAATCATGTATCAAAATGCTTAACAGGTTCAATTGTTGGGTTTGGAAAATTAATTATAATCTGATTAATTATAATGATAATAATTATTGTCAAAATAATTAGTGGTAGTGTTGTTATTTTTATCTCAAAAATCATTTGGAAAATCATGTAATCTTTCCTAATAATCCATTCTGGAGTAGATAAGGCTGCTACCAACCGGCATAGTGTCCTTTTAATCCTTTATCCCAATACACTTTTGATAAAGACTTGAGAGTTGGGTTATGATTTATAATTTGAGTTTTTTCCATTTGATAAGCTGCTATTACATCATCAAATGGTTAAACAAAGTAAATGTGTAGAAATTCTAAATAAATTCAAGCAATAAATACATATCAAGATGTTTTTATGAGAAATCATTTCATTTTTATTTCATAATTGACACATTAGATTCAATTTTTGTTAGTGTTCCTAACTTTCACCCAATCTCCAAATTTATTATTATTATTATTCTACCCTATTATTTAAGAGTTACTAATTTTAAATTATATTCTTTAATTTTTTGATTTTAATAAGTACAAACTTTGATTCTAGAAAAGTTAGAATGTTTACACACTAATAAATAATTCTTTTCAATTTAAACTTTAAAATTAAATAATATATTTTGTTTAAAAAATTAAAATCCTTAGTTAGCTAAATATGATATTTCTCTCTTCAAGGATTTTATGCAGATGTTTAATTCAAAAATGGGGGGATGCATAAAACAAGAAATGATGAACTATTTAATTTAAAAAAGAATTTCAATTAGTACAACCATACTAGCTCCATCATTATAAGAATGAGAATTCCCATAAAGATTTATGTTGAAATGAAAAAATAAAATCTATTATTAGTTCAGTGTAATTGATTTCATAGGCTGAATCAAACTTCATTTAACATATTGACTAGGAATAAATTGAAGAATCAAACAGTTAAATTGATTAGTTCAGGTTCAAATCATTCAGGAATTGTAACATATGATGATCAACTTTTTATTTGTGGTTCTGCATTACACGGTTTGCAATTCAAATTAAAAAAATAATTTAGGTAAACTTGGTGTTGAAGATGCAAATCAACCATCTTATCCAAAATTCTTACTTGTTTAGGCTATGAAAGGCTTATTTGTGACTTAAGTGGCAACAGGAGATTATCATACTTTATGTTTATTAGACAATTGATAAGTATATGCTTGGGGTGGCACTCTACATAAAAAGTTAGGATCTAAAGCAGGTAAACCAGCAAGAATAGAAACATTAAAAAAAACTATTGTTTAAATAGGCTGTGGAGATTTTCATAGTGCTGCATTGAGTGCTAATGGAGATCTTTTTACTTGGGGAGGAGGAGGAAGAGATTATAATAGAGGTCAATTGGGTCATGGACATTTAAATGATGTGGAAACTCACTAAGTCGTTAAAGATAATATCGTCAAATTCAGTTGCGGTGGTTATCATATGATGGCATTGGATAAGGATGATGAATTTTAGTCTTGGGGTTCTGGAATGTATGGAGAAACTGGCTAAGAAATTCTAAGATAGCTTATTACCAAAAAAAGTTAAAATTCATTTCAATCAAAAACATATTATTATTGATGATCTTTATGTGTAGAATAAATAAGGTATTATAAATTTTGAATATAGAATCAACTATAAAGGAAATTAGTCTAGGAGGACATCATAGTTTATTATTATCAAATAAAGGTATTGTTTATGCTTGTGGATATGCATAACATGGATAATTAGGTCAAGAATCAATTTCTTGGAATAAAGAAGAATTAAATAATTATTTGCAGGAGGAAATCATTCTTGGGCATTAATTGATTATAATCAACCCAGAATTGATGATTATTCTCCTCCTTCTCCTCTAAACGAAGAAGCTAAAATAGAGAACATTACTTAACCTCTTGATCAAGGCATATAGGATTTAGAAATAGTTATTACTGAAGTTAAAATGCATCATAGATTTGTCAAAATTTAAGTGCCAGCATAATTTTAAACTACTAATTAGGCTAAGATTAATGATTACTTAAATTTTATGCAAAAAGATCCAAATACAAAATTAAGTAAAATTTAGAATGATGCTCTTGCTTTAGGAGTAAAAGAAGAAAATAATAAGTATATATATTTTTATAGATTTAGATTATCATTTACTATTATGATGGTAATGGATCTATCATCATAGAAAATGCCATTTGAGGATATGGATGAAGGCAAAGTGAATCAAATTGGTAAACAATTTCTTGTAAAAAGAAGTACTTTCAATAAAAATTCTATATATGATTGGATTATATAGGCTGAAAAGATAATGAACATTCCAGGAATTTCAATTAAATTCTTGGAACTCAGACCATTATAATGAATGATTCTACTTATGAATTATAAACTCTTTTATAATTTTTATAATTTTGTTTGAGATAATTTAATATTAATAATCTATAATACTACGTTAAATTCATGAATTGAAATTTTGGAAGTAGATAAACGATTTGAGATAAATGAATTTGAATTCAAGAAATCGAAAAGATTGATTTTTCATATGTCACAGAACAAAAATCATGAACTTAGATGACTTAAAAGCATAATGATTATAAATGTTTTGAAAGAGTAATCATAACTAAATTGATACCTAAATGCTTAATTTATCTCATAAATAACAAAGAATTGAATAAAGATATTAGTCTACATACTATAAGTATCACCTCAATTCTAAAAAGTAGTCCCAATAAATAGAATGAAATTCCTATTAATAAGTTGACAGACTTTTAAGAATTGATTGCTTAAAAAGGTATTTAGTTAAATAAACACTTAGGATAATTAAAGTCTTTAATAAGTACATTTCTTAAAACAAGGAGATCATAATTCTAATTATTATTTTGAAAAATGATATACTTAGTATTTGATTGACTGCACAGTAAACATCTACTTTCAACAGCAACTATTTTATTTATGATAATATCACTTATTTCTTCTTCAGTTATAAATTAGATAACTATATTGAAAATAAAAATAGACCCTATCATTGTTTAATAACAAATTAGATTAAGGATTCAGATTTTATTTTAGAGAAAAATTCTGATATTCATTTTATGTAAATCCCATTATTCAATATCTATCCAATTATTATTTTAATATATTCATTAGTCTGGATACTTAAAATAGATAAGAAATTTAATATTATAAAACATGTTCTTATTCTGTTCTTCTCCCTATTACAAATAATATTCCTTAAAATTTGAAAAAATTGGTTAATAACTTTTATCAAGTGAAAGAGTTATATTAATTTAACAGTAAGTTATTGTTGAAAAACCCATTAAATATGTTGTTGAACCTTTTGAATGACAAATTTCAAATAAATATTAAATTCAAAACGATCTATACATAATTTTAGTACTCAATAAAGAAATTAAAAATAAAAAAGTTACTTATGATAATCTAACAATTAATAATTAACATCATCACATGTATAAAAAGATTAATAAATCATTAAACGTTAATTGATTAATTTGATATAAATAATCAGAAAAAATAATGGCAAAAAATATCCTTAATAATGATATCTATTAAGTCACATGAACCTTAAAAATTTACCTTATATGAAAGATAACATCCTGTAAATAAATAAGATTAATAGCTGCCAAAATAATAAATCACATGTATCAAAATGCTTAACAGGTTCAATTATTGGGACTGGAAAATTAATTATAATGTGATTAATTATAATGATAATATTATTGTCAAAATAATCAGTGGTAGTATTGTTATTTTTATCTCAAAAATCATTTGGAAAATCATGTAATCTTTCCTAATAATCCATTCTGGAGTAGATAAGGCTGCTACCAACCGGCATAGTGTCCTTTTAATCCTTTATCCCAATACACTTTTGATAAAGACTTGAGAGTTGGGTAATGATTTATAATTTGAGTTTTTTCCATTTGATAAGCTGTAATTACATCATCAAATGGTTAAACAAAGTATATGTTTAGAAATTCTAAATAAATTCAAGCAATAAATACATATCAAGATGTTTTTATGAGTAATCATTTCCTTTTTATTTCATAATTGACACATTAGATTCAATTTTTGTTAGTGTTCCTAACTTTCACCCCATCTCCAAATTTATTATTATTAATCTACCCTATTATTTATGAGTTACTAATTTTAAATTATATTCTTTAATTTTTTGATTTTAATAAGTACAAACTTTGATTCTAGAAAAGTTAGAATGTTTCCACACTAATAAATAATTCACTTCAATTTAAACTTTAAAATTAAATAATATATTTTGTTTAAAAAATTACAATCCTTTGTTAGCTAAATATGATATTTCTCTCTTCAAAGATTTTATGCAGATGTTTAATTCAAAAATGGGGGGGATGCATAAAACAAGAAATGATGAACTATTTAATTTAAAAAAGAATTTCAATTAGTACAACCATACTAGCTCCATCATTATAAGAATGAGAATTCCCATAAAGATTTATGTTGAAATGAAAAAATAAAATCTATTATTAGTTCAGTGTAATTGATTTCATAGGCTGAATCAAACTTCATTTAACATATTGACTAGTATTAAAAAAATAGTTGAAAAAGATTTTTAATTGAATAATCCTCCAATATTTCATATACTCCTATCAACAAATCAATTAAAAATACTCATGTTTTAAGTCATAAATATAAAATGAGTAAAATTTATAAGCTGCTTATTTTGTAAATTTTACAAAAATGATTGTTAAATACAGAAAATTATTTAAAATAAATATTTCCCTAAAAAAATAAAAGATGATATACATAATAATTCAAAGATAATTGTCATTCTTTTCATACATTTGCCAAAAATAAAAAAATGAAAATAGTTATCAAATCACAAAGCCAAGATATTATTAAGGATAAAATCATCATACAAGAACATGATAAATTAATATTTTAATAGCTATTGAATGATATGAAATAAATAAAAAGAAATTATTTGTATTACTTATTCAAAAATAAATCAATGTCTCAAAAACACGATATTGAGTCAAAAGCAGTAATAGGTTTATTTAAAAAACAATTTGAAGAGATATAGCTTTATATAACTCATGTAGACTTGCTATTCAAGACAAAAAATTTTCAATAAGATTAAGTAATTCTTAAATAATAAATCTGATTTCAATGATAAAGAATGTATTGCTAGACATGAAATTTAGCATACAAATAAAAATGCAAGATGATAATATGGCTACTTTTGAAACTATGAAATTTTTTGAAAATACTAAAACTATTCATTAAATAGCATTGGAATATTTTAAGAATGAATCTATTTAATTGTTAGGTAATAGAATATTGTATAAAAAATCATAGGCAATTTAATGAAAACATGGGAATAATCATTTGAGAATTAAAATGAAATGTGCAAAGATAATTTAGAATTTTGTTAGACCATTGAAAAATTATCGATGAGACTAATAAAATTGAAGATTCTCAATTCAACCCCACAATTTAAAAAATACTCTCTAAAAAAGACAGAAGTCTAATTCTTAAAGGATTCGAACTGATTTAATAGAGTTATATATTTATTTTATCTATATATAGACGTAAATTGCAATAATTTATTCAACAATCAAGAATTTTTCTAATGATATTTTTTTGTAAATGGCTTAATATTTATTTTGAAAATCAATCATAACCTAGTGAGGTTTTTATTATAATAGAGAAATCGTTTATATAAATGTGAGTATATTTTTCTGTTTTTCGTTTCTTTCAAAAATTGGTGTTCTAAAAATAATTCATTGGAATCCTGTGGAAATGGTTAATAATAATATGCATGAAAATGGTTTACTTTTAATTAATTTTTATAAAAAATAATTATAATTGAACTTTCTTACACAATTATTATTGTAATTAGAGAATTATAATTGAGTTTTTTTGATTAATGAACTAAATGAACATATTTTTTCAAGTAATTTTAAAGAAATCAATATAAGATTATAACCTGATTTTATATAATGATTGCTTTAATGAGAAGAATAATGCTGAGAACTCAAATAATTCTCTCTTAACATAGTACTACCAAATTATTGAAACTAATTGAAAAACCATTCAAAATATTAAAATAATAAATTTGCATAGCAATTAATTATGTAAAAGGTATAAATTATTCTTATTAATTCAGAAAGATTATGGTTTTGGTGGGGATGAAAAAGTGAAGAAAATTAATAATGAACATTATGATGAGGCGATTGAATTGGAAGATAGAGATGATGGAGAAATTGGTAGTGGTGAAGAAGATGAAGATTAATGTAACGTTTTTACCTACTATTCTATTAGATTAAGCTGGTGCTAGAGGAGCCCAATAAGCTGCACAAAGTGTCGGGTTTTAAGAAGGAAAGGTTCCTTTACCTGCTAGTGCTTACAATTCAAATGATTATTTAAATTTATAAGTAGGTGCAGAAGTCAAATAATTGTTTGAGGTATTTCTATTTTTAATTTAAGATACAAAGCTCCTTAAATGGTTTTGGATGCAAAATTAAAACCATTTATTCCAGATTATGTAACTGCTATAGGTGAAGTTGATGCGCACATAAAAATACCAAGACCTGATGGCTAACCTGAGACACTTGGTTTGTTACATTAGTAATCTATCTATATAATTTTAAGGATGAACCTACTCTTAATCAATCTAAAAAGGCTAAATTAGATTTATTGATGAGAGAATATGTAAAGGTAGCAAATAGGGGCAAAAATACTACTATCCATGCTATTGAAAATGCTGATAAAAATCCAAAAGAAATTACAGCCTGTATTAATGATGTGGCAGAAATACATAAAAAAAAGTCACCTCCATCTTGTTTCATATTCTAAAATTATGCCTGATATTGAAGAATTAATGTAAGTCTGGCCTGAAGAAATCAAAGACTAATTCTAAAGCAATTAATTACCAGGTGATAATATTGATGTGGGTTTATAAGAATATTGTTAATTCTCATGCAATTTGTTAGATATTCCTGCTCATTCAATTAATAATAATAGAAATATCATCGAGTCTTTGCATGTTTTATTTACATTGTTTTCGGAATTCAAAACAAATTAACATTTTAGATAAAACAATGATGAAATTTAATGAATTTTCAATATTAAAACATTATTTTCATATTAATCTTTCTATTCAGATTTAATTAATTTGAAAATATCTATATTCATTATTAACAAAGAAAAACTATAAATTTTAAATTCTAATTAATATTAAAATTGTTTGTTATTTGATAAATTCTTTTACATTTTAGAAAAAATGACAAAATTTCAATGATTAAAAAAAACAAGTTGAGATAAAAATCAAACTTTGTAAAATCAACTTTTCTAGTAATTGGAATGATTATTATGAAAAATTAAAGAATTACCATTAAATATTTCATTTATTACTAATAAGAAAAAAAATGATTATAACAATAATTTGGAATAAATTTTTAAATTTATTAATTAATCAAACTCATACATAAATGAATTCTTGCTTTATCTAAATTTGGATATATAAATTCAGAAATTTAGTTAAAAAAAGAATTGCTTTTCTCAAAATCATTAAATTAATAACAGTTAGATTTAATATTGATATATAAATATCTCTAAGTAAATTTACTTAAAACATGGAATTTTGACAAAGGATTATATTATAGAAGAAAACTAAGCAAATTTAACAAGGAATGATAATTAATAAGTTAATTAGTAGATTAATTAAAATCTGATTAAAGGGAAAAAATTTAAAAAAAGGTTTCATTTCTTCACTTATTTCTTAGTAGATCAATTACATAATTATATATTATGTATAAAGAGGGAAAATGTTAATAAGAATTAGCAGCCTCTAATTATTCATACTGGATGGTTTATAATCAAAATAAGGTCTATATTTGTAAAGGTAATTGAATTTTTCTTCAATTTAAAAGCCATTACTTAAAAATTACATAATTTTATCAATAAATACACTGAGGCTATTAGTTGTTTGACATAGCCTTTTAAATCAATCCATTCAATAATATTGCATAAAATAATCAAAGATCTTCAATTATCATTTTGCAGTAACGACATTTTCTTTAAGGTTTATTAAGTACAAAATATAAATTTGCTGATACTTTTGTGTTATAGATATCTCATTAAGTATCAGTTCAAATAATAAGTAACCATATTCTAATAAAGGATATAATTTAAATAAAAATAGGTTTTACCTTATGGAATTTGCAAAGGTACTAAGAAGATTTTGTTACTTACGAAAAAGCGATAGAGCGCATAAAAATAAAAGCATTTCTAAAATTTAAACTATTTAATAGGCCCATATTATAAAATAATGGTGTTCCATTTCTAATACTAAAATAACAGAAATATGCCTACGCAATTTAATGTTTTAACAATGCATTATTCTAAAAAATAGGGAAGATGAGGCTTATGAAAACACGAAAGATTGTAAACTTTCTCCCTAATTATTTTCAACAAAATACAAAATAAGCAATTTTCATAAAAATATTGAAGTGCAGGAATTTTTTATTAAGCAATCTTTCTTAAAATAGATACTATTATATTATACCTCATAGTATTTTATGTTCTTATATTTAAGCTGGCTCATTATACACATTTTTTAAAGTGTGTTTTTGAAAAAGGAAGCAAAATAATATTATTATGAAGCATTAAATATAGGAAAATCTAAATTCAGAGTAAGAATATATTCTATGATATGTATTTTATAGTAAATGTTTATAAATAGTATTCTAATGCTTATTGAGTTTCATTCATGAATTATGAATTGTACTTATCAAGTAAAATTTTGATCATTAATAGGCATTCACCTAAGATTAATTTAATTATCTTACATAGAGAATAAAATAATGGAGTACAAATTCATTTTGTAATAGCATTTAAAATTCAAATAATTTTAATTAATTACATTTGAATAACCAAAATAAGGAATAGCAGAAAAAATAAAAAAATGTTAAAAAAATGAGTATTCTTAGAATATATAACAAAAATTTTTATTATGAATCTTTAATAAAGTATTTTATTATTAATAATGTTAATACTATAAAACATTTATTAAATAAATAATAAAACAAAATATACACTCATTTGGGATTGAACTCAAGATTTTTAATTTGTGGTGATTCATTAAGATAGGAAAGTTATTAACATGTTTATACCGGTGTTGATTTAATATTTAAATTTTGAATTATATGCCAGGCCTTTTGAATAAAGTAACATCCCCATTACGTGGTGGTGGTTGTGGATCTTTGAAAACATTTCCCAACACAGAAATAGTGTTAAAGTCTGATATTTAAGACATAGAAAATTTCATTTCTAGATTTGATTCTTTTGTCTAAACGATTTCCACTAAATCAGCTGTTGCAGCTAATTAAACAGAAGCTTAAGAAATAATGATAGCTATATAATGGTTTATTTTTTAAGAGGAAAACATTTATAAACTCATTAAGAATGCCTAAAAAGTCTTGAAATCATACAATTTAATTATAAATGGAATCCGAAAATTATTAGAAAGTTGTTTGATCTATGTCAGAACGGATTCATTTATATGTTTATTCATCTTAAAGATTACAGCATCTCTATCTAAGGTGATATTTAGTTTTCATATAAGTAATGATTAGAGATAATTGAACTGCGATGCAAAATAGAAATTTTTAGATATTTGCGATGAATTAAAATAATAAATGGAAATAGAGAAGAATGATTTCATTCAAAATTAATTGGAACTTTACCTTTTCCTAACAAAAACTTCATTTCAAATGGCCCCAAATGATGATAAAGAACGGAATGATATTTTAAAAGGTTTTTTAAATGGCATTTTTGAATCCATAATTGATATGAAACCTAATGCTGAATTATTGATATCATTGTTTCGTGGAGTCTACATGCTTTACAATCAGTATGTGAATTAAAAAAATAGATAATAATATGAAGTTTATTTTTCAATAGATATGTTGTAATGGGAAATCATATATAACTTTAAAAATGCTGGCTAAAAGAATTTGGATGAAATACTCTTACAAATAGAGGAAACACATGAAAAAATTGTGAAAAATTCAAGGAATTGGGAAAACCATTATTTGTGGATTTAAATGATTGGAACAATCTTATTATATAATCCTCTTATAAAAAAAAAAAAATTAAAACAGTTAACGAGCTCTTTCAATCTCGAAGCAAAACCAATGTACATATGGAAGGAATATCTGAACAAAAGATTTCTAATTTAAATAAATCATAGCAATGACTAAGCTTTAATTTTGCTTTATTAATTTACAAATAAATAATTAACTTAAATTGATAAATTAATACTAGAAGACACTTTCAAAGAATGGGAAAACTTCATGGTGCTTAAAGACTTCTTACTGAAGGAAAGAAATGATAATATCCATTTTACATTTGGTTCCTATCTAAAATTTTAGTTAGGAAGCATGGAACCCTAAAAAAATGGATATATAGAGGCAATTAGCAAAATTTAACAATTTTTTCATTTCATTATTTCAAATAAATTACTAGCATTAATTCAAGAAAATGATGAGAGATTGGGAGTCATAGTTAAAAATTACCAAAATTTTTACAAAGAAAATAACTATTTTAATGAAACAATAGAATAAGCCACATATAACTCATAATTAAAACGAATAGTTTTCAACTTTAAAGAATTTTTCTAAAACACTCTCAAAATTATTAAAATTATTGGGCATAGTTAAAGGAAATAAACTTTTTAGATAGAATAACTTAAATAGAAAAAGATTGATGAATTCAATTTTTTTTTTAATCTTAAGTATATGATGAAACTAGTATAATAAATATTATCTTAAGCAATTTAAGATATTAAAAATAAGAGAAATGAACCTGATGAAATCATAATTCTTTAATAAGAGATTGAATTGATTTAGGAAGAATTTAAACATATAAATCTAATAGATAAATAATTTTCATTTTTCCATTAGTTCAAGTAGAAACTACTTGCATTACCAAATGCAACTCAAAACTAGAAAAAATTTTTGGAAGAAGCTCAATGTATGTTAACTCGTATTCAAGAAAGTGAAAAATATGTTTCAGAGATAGAAATTTTTTTTCTTCAAAAGGATAACTTAATTCAATACTTTTAATGGTTATTGAATAACCTAAATTGTAATTATGAAGACCAGATCTAAGAACTACAAAAATACTGTTAAGAATTTATTGAAAACTTTAAGACAATTCTAATTTTACAATATGAAATAGAGTCCGTTTCTAAAACTGAAATAGAGTCTGTTTCTAAAACTGAAAAATTAAAAGAAATTAAATAAAAATATTCTAGCAAGCTTTCATTGAAATGTATACAACAATAAAGATTGAAAAATTTAAAGCTTAAATTAAAATTAATTAATTTCAAAGAATGTTTTTAAAAGATTATAACAATACCATTAGAAGAATTTTAAGAGTTATAAAAAATTATCAATTTGGATGAATTTCTACTTGATGTAGTTAAGAATTATCCAAAACGAATAATTTGTTGTGACAGTTAATTTTATAAATAAACTATTGCAGAATTAAGTAACTTAGAAATTACTGAACAAGACTATTAAAATAATTTAATACAATAAAAAGGGATTTTAGATTATCTTATATTTAAATTAACTCTAGAAGAATAATTAATTGACATGGAAAGAATAGATTTAGAATTAATCGAAAAGGAATTTGGCGAATTTTATATGGAAGATACCGATTCTTTATCTCTTCCTCAAAGAATAATGAAAATTATAAAAAGTGTTTCAATAGACACTATTACTATTAACTATCTTAATCAAAATTAATTGAATATTGAAAGAGAAAAGTATGAGATATTACTATTATAATTAAGAAAAATTAACCTCTAAGAAAATTGTGAAGTTGTAGAAGAACTTAAATAACTAATCAGTCAGATCTAAATGATTGTTAAAATATTGAGGGCTTCTGTTAACCAAGACCTAGAAATTTTCCAAATGCCAATCTTTAAAAGAGTTAAAGAATTAAAACAAAAATTTGATAAATTTAACACAAAATATGATGTAAGAACAAAGATGAGAAGAAAATTGTCGAGGACAAAAATTATGTCCAAAACAAAATTAGAACAAATTTATCTATCATTATTAGCATTCTATAAATATTACTTAAGAGAACAAGTTAAGTGAAGCAAAAGTTGAACAAATTGCTTTAAAATGTTACAAATTTTACTCTACAAGAGTGTTACGATGAAATGTATACAAGTTTTTCAAGTTGGTTTTAAAAACTTTTAAACCAAAGGAAAAAGAATCAAGTTAAGAATACTTTTCAAGAATTTAGAACAACATATTGTCTTGTGTAAATTAATCAGACAACAATAATAGTTAATCAACGAATATTGTTGATTTTCTCTATAAGCTAATGGCTGAAACAAAAGAAACTTTAAAAATTTCTAAGTGGGAATTCTAGGAAATTTCATTTAATCAAGATTATTTAGTTCAATTAACTAAAAAAGTATACCTACAAGAAATCGATGAGGAATATGAAGTCTAATCAAATCAATAGGATTAATTCTCTATAGAATAATAAAAAAATGATGAATGGAAAATTAAATAGGGTTTAGTATTAACTATAATTTAGATTTCGTAGAATAGCTTCACAGAAACAATTACTCGATTTTGTTAAAAAACTCTCATTTAATTATGGGTTTTAGAAAAAGACTAAAGAGTTAGAAATTTATTGAAAAAT